CAACTCTCACTCTATTGGCCAGATTGTTTGATCTCGTCTGCGTTAAGAGAGAAAGGGTTGTTCTCTCTTGCATTTCTCTAATACCACAATATTATGGCGACTAAAAAAGGACGAAGAGGCAGAAAAAAAGAGAATTTCTGAAGTCTTTTTATAGCAGCAAAAAAGGTACAGCAGTGACCTGTTAAATAGGCCTACAACTAACTAAAATTAGCTAAAAATAAGCAATTAAAAGATAGGGGATAAAAATGCCCACTAAAACCACCCTATAAACTTGAAAACATCAAATATTTTAATCCTAAATAACTGAACAACATTACTTTTTACTAGCTAAAAACAAGGAAACATATTGACTATTTTGAAGCACTAATCAACACTTCTCAAATGAATTAACCAAACACAAATTGTTTTTTTCAAAAGCACTTCTCTTAAATGTTACTTTAGAAAGGGATTAAGAAAAAATATACCTTAAACTATCGTAAATGGCATTTGTATACCTGTCCTTATACTTTAAGGATGTTAGTGCTCTAATCGTCCAAATTTTTTGCATATATACGTTTAATATTAACGATGGTACATGCATGTGTCTCAATCTTAATTGTCTATCCATTATTTGATAAACTTCTATCCAAAATCTGGAAAATCCACTCAAATTATAACAAAATCCACCAAAATTAATATAACCCAAAACCCTCAATCAATTCACTTAATTTCAAATTAAGAGTCTTAAAACACTTAGATCCCATCTGGATTGACTTAAAAATTAGTTTTTATGTCAACAATAAAAAGTCAAACTAAAGAGACATTTAAGTCAAAAATATAAAAAGTAAGGGGCGATTTACTTTTGGTTTTTGACTTATTTTAAGTTATTTTTACCTTGTCAAACACTTCCTAACTTATAAGTCTATATTTGAATTATTTTAAGTTTTGTTAATATATATTTTGCAAAATACTTCTAGAAGTCAAAAACCAACTCAAAAAGTAGGGTTGACCAACTTTAAAGCCAATGCAAACACCCTCTTATTTAGCAACATATCTTTTCCCCAATTTTCATCCCCACACCCTCATTCTTAACAAGTATCCTCTTGTCCTTACTTGATTCCAATTTTTCGTATAAGAGGTCTTTTGGGGGTTTCAATGGCTTCATGACAGGATTCAAAATAATTAGTTAGTGGTGAATCTTCATCTTTCTAGTTCTTGATGCAACTCTTCCTATTATAGATCTGGTGGGATTTCTTTTCTTAGTAATGAAGTTTCAACTAGAAACTTCCCAAAGACCGTGGCGGCGAAAACAGCAAAGACACTGATAAATAGTTAGATGGAAGCAAGTGCAAAATTGTGATGAATGACGGTGAGATATATAAGATTTATGATATTTAAAGTTAGATTCATCTCCTTGTCTTTCTGCTTCAACTCCATCTCCATTGTTGTCATTTTCATCAATTCGTCCTTAAGCTCAAATTTTAATTTCCAAAAGGTAATTTTTTTCCCTTTTCTCAAAGTTAGGGTTTCATCCATTTTAAGTTGCTTAAAAATTTATAGAGATAGATAAAAATCAATCCATAATTTTAAATGTTTTTTACAAAATCTTCAAAGCATTAATCTTGGTTTAGTTTATTTTTAAGTACATTTTTCAGTCAAATTGACATCAGTGATAGGTTGTTGATTGTTTGCGATATTGTTTAAATTGTATAAGTTATGCTTTGTTTTATCAGTTTATTTTAGTTGCATTTGTTGTGGTGTGTTGTCTGAATATTAATTTTATTAGCTCAACCTCCAATAGATAGCATAGTGAAGGTGACATATGACGTTTGATCTATAGTTCACATCTTCCCATTAATAACAAGTGTGGATTTATTAATAGCTTACTGTATTACTTCAACAATTACTAAATGTGCTAGTTTTAGAGCTCTAGCATGTCCTTGTTCCTTAACATAAGCCAAGCAAATAAACTTCTTAATTATTATTCATAAATAAAGTCCTTCAATAGTCTATATGTTGCAGAAGGATATGATAGAGGAGGAACGACATGTTACACCTAGTGAAGTAGACATTTTCAATTATTGAGACTTCTCCAGTTAGTCCTTCAATCGATATTTTCTTTGAGAAGTTCATTAGGCATGCAAATTAATGTTTTGTGTGAATGATTGATATGTATTCAGATTTATGATGGTTTATATTGTTAAGTCAGAATTATGCAATTTTTTTTTGAATTTAGAAAGGTATTAGAAGAACATAAATTGCAAATATTCATTCGATCTTCTATTTTCAGAAGCTACTTATAACTTAAGTATGTGAGTAATAGATTTTATACGAGCATAGTTTATCAACTTCTTTGACATAGAATTTGTAGAAATCAAAAATAGGAAGTTTAGATAAGTTGTAGTGGCATTGCGATTTATTTTGACATGAAAAAGTTTGTTGTCATCACTAACATAAATTATCACAAATGTATGATAATGTAAAATTTTCAACTAAGACAAAAAGGAGATTACAAAAAATTCTTAATGAGATGGAAAAGAGTTGCAAGAGAAATGTGTTGATTGAGCATCTCAAAACCAAAGATATTAGTAAAGGTGTAAAAAAATGTTGGGCTTACTTTATTATTTTCATAGAATTCTTAGTGGAAAAGATTACAAAATAAATATTTTTAAGAAATGAACTTTGCTCTCGGCCGATAGATAAACATTTTATGTTTATCCATGGGCCGTATTAACTATGATATTACAATCAACCATCTATTGCAAGTGGTGAAGCCCTATATGAAGACCACCAATCTCTATGGATTTTCATGAGCCTTTATGATAAATATAATTTATTTTAGTCCATATTTAGTTTTTCATTATTTTTTGGATGCATCCAATATTTTGCTCTCTTTTTTAGATAATTTTATGTGATTTTTGTATTTGAGATTGTTCCTTTACTTCGAAAAAGTACAAGGTGTTTTTTTGGAACAAGTGTCTTCACAAAGAAACTTTTTATATCTTTGATGAATTATAACGAATTGGTTAAGATTAATGACTTGTTTGATGCCTCGGAGGACTCAGTAAGCATCATTCTTTAACTTAATATACAAACACTAAATTCTATTTGTTGCTTTACATATGCAACCAAATTGTTATTCTTATTTAGAAATAAAAAGCTAAACATGTAGGATAGGTCAAAATCACTTGTTATTATTGCTAACAAGCAATTAGATGGGGAAAATATAGTAATTGTATATTATTCTAAAAATATCATTTCAACAATCTGTTTGCTTCGATTTATGTAAACCCTAGGCCACAACTCCTATATATCCATACATTTCTCTATACATGATATTTTTCTTATTTTACAAAAGTAAATAAGGAAATTCAAGTATCTAACATATCATGTACCCCCACCTCCATCGCTTTTCAACTTGAAGACCATTGTTGAAATAAATAGCTTTTTATATGTTTGCAATAGCTATTCGAGCCGCTTCTCTATTTTATTTCTGTTGCGATTGTACTTTCTCTTACTACAACTGCTTGTCTTGCAACTTAAACATTTTCTTCTTATTTTTTAAATAAAATGCTTTTCCAAGAATTTGTTATTTATTTTTTTTTGAATTTGAACATCATATAAGCATATTATTTCTTTTACTTCAAGACTCTTCTTTTACCTTGCTTGTAGACCTGCTGAGGAGCAAACCCTTGTTCTATTGGTTTGGTGGTTGCTACCAAGACGATTTCTTTATGCCCATCAAAAGACCTCGAGATGCTAATCCACGAAAAAGGATACGAGAAATTAAACTAATGTGTACCAAGAATTTATATTTTAAATCTGTTTGTACGGGCCAGTTTGAAGAGGAGTGATGAAGTAAAAAAAGTGATATGCTTATATGATCTTCAAAATAAAAAATTAAATTCTTGGTGAATTGTTTGCTAAACAAGAGAAGAAAGAAATAGTTAAAGTTGCAGGAAAAGCACTTGCAAGAAAGAGATTTGTATTTTCCATCAAAAGTTAGCAGGATCGCTATTGCATACATCAAGAAAATTGTTAATTTCAAAAATGATCTTCAAGATGAAAAGGATTTGTTGGTGATTATAAATAATGCAAGTTTATGATAAAGTAAAGAGTACTTTACATGTTTTCTAAAAAACAAAGGGGACATGATGGTATGTTAAATACTTGAATATCTTCCTTGTTTAGTTTTGTGAAATGAATAATTATCAGTTGCAGAAAAATATATGGATATAAAGGAGTTTTTTGCCTGGAGTTCACATAATTGAAGAAAATAGATTATTGATATTTTTGGAATAATAATAATATATAGTACATTAACTATATATGTCCTAAATTGTTTGTTAGTATTATGACAAGTAATTTTGACCTATCCAACATTTTAGTTTTTTTATTTCTAAGTATCAATAAAAATGTGGTCGCACATATGCATATGATATTTATCAAAGTAGTAGATCCGCAGAAATTTTCTTGCATAAATATAAATAACCTTAATTAACTATATCCAATGGTTATAAAACTAGTCTTTGAAATCATAATTTACCCTACTTATTCAAATGACATGACTATTTTTGATTGGGTAGAACACGTCACATGTTCATATGCAACTCATTTTTTGGCCTTTTATTGGACTAGGCATTCCATGTTATCTGGACATGTAGAATGATCCTATTGATTTGTTCGTTTGACTTTGCGTGTCCTTTTATTTAACGGGACACCTTACATAAAACTGGATTTTTAGAATGAAATGATACATTGTTATAGCAAAATAGATCCATCATTTATTTCCAAAATAAATAAATCATACCAATGAAATTGGACTTTGATTAGATTTATTTTAATTAAAATTAAATAATTAATTCATGATATAATTTTAAATTCATATATATCTTAAATTTAATATAATTTAAATTATTTTATAAATTTATGTTTAATAGGGTATAAATATTTACAATAGTTCTCTGGACATCATGAGAATATAGAGAGTTACGTTTGTTATTCTTTATTAAACATCTAAAATGGAAAGTAATGTCATGCATGAATAATAAATACAATGAGAGCAATAAGGAGGTACTATATATTAGCTAGATCCCACTAACCACAAATATAAGCACTCCACTAATTAATACCATCACAACAAATTTAATTTCTATGTCACTAAATTTTGAATTTAATCTTAAAAATCACTTAATTATGAGTGTTGTGGCACTCCAAAAAATTTTAAGTTAAGACTCAAATCATTCTTTATTGATGAATAAGATCGTACGGAGTGATTCTTAAATCATCCATAAGTGTAAAGGTCAATTATTTAGAGTTGAAATGCATTTGTATATGAATTAAGGTAACTCGAATCCCCTAGCACAAATTTGAGTTGAAAGTTTTCATACCGAAAAAGTTTTGATGTAAGATTCTAGATGGGTCAACTTCAAATGATCACATCCTTAGAATTGAAAGAGTTATGTAGACCATAACCTATCAAATTAAAGATATTTGAATCTTCTCTCCAACAACATAAATTTTGTAATAATGCACGTTTCAATTAAAACATTATTAAAACTTTTGTAATATTATACAATACAGTGACGAATTAGCCAACGAAAAAAATATTAAAAAGGGTTGTTTTCGACTTTTTACCTCTAATAAAATACTAAAAGAATTTCTCGACTAATTGAAGGCCCAAATCAATGAGATTTTCATCTATTTATTCAACAGTTTCTTCTCTCTCAAACCGTAAGGCAGAAACCTAAGGAAAATCAAAGTAGAAGACTTTCATTCAAGATTCTTCTTCAAGGTAAATTTTTCTCCAAGAATTTCATTCTTTCAAACTCAAATTACTCAATAAAATTACGAATCATTAATGAGAATCTAACACTTGGTCATAAAGTTTCAAGAAACTAATTCAACGCTTGTAATAAAATTTCTCTTCAAGATTTCTCAAGAACTTTGTTCTTCAAGGTATGTTAGACTATAATAATGTTGCACTAGTCCATCGTCACACTCTACATCTACTTTCAAATTAGTAAAAGAGTAATCTAGAATTCTATCCTTAGATTTGAGTATTCTTGAGTTGAGTTAATTTTGAGTTAGATCTTCGGCTCTTTATTATTTTTGAAATTTTATTTCTAATTATATTGAATCAATATATGCTATCCATTGAGATTCTTGAGTTGATTCGTTCATGCCTATATTTCAGAACCCTATGAATGGATTATTTATTAGATGAGTAGTATCGTCGAGTTTTGAGTTATTGATTTTTTTTATTGTTATTGAGATCCTTGAATTGAGTTTTTCATGTCTATATTTCAGCATGAACCCTATTTTGCGTTATACATTTTTTGAAAGTTGGAAAGCTTAAATTTTTTTTAAAACTAAAATTTTGAGAAAGTATACAGAAGTTAGACAAAGAGTTTTAAAGAGAAACTTTGAGTAAAATTTAAGGTAACTAAGTAGTCCCAAATGTATCATTTTGTTATATTGATAAAAGAAAAACTTTTTTTTACTAAAAAGAGTTCATGAGTACAGAGATATTTCAGAGAGGTGACCTCTTCCAAGGGATTGTTTTGAGTAATTACCTCAAAACAAAGAAAGATTAAGGTTTATACATTTGAGAATGAATATATATATTTTTGTTGGAGTAGTATTGAGCACCGATATTGAGATGAGTTCACACAATTTAAAATCCCCATAAACTATGCCCGCCACCATGGATAAAGAATCAAACTTTTTAGATGAAACTTTTTTGGTTTTCTTGTATAAACATCAATAAACTTAATTAACTATAGCCAAAGGTTGTAAAAGTAGGCTATGAAATCATAATTTACCTAATTTATTTAAAGGACATGATTATACTTGATTGGTCAGAACATGTCATCATGTGTACATATGTGACACATTTTTTGGCCTTTATTTGACTATGCATGTCATGTTATTTTGACATGTATTATGATCATATTTACTTATTCTTTTGACTTTGTGTTTCCTATCATTTCATAGGACACGTGACTGGATCTTTTGGATGAAATGATAGATTAACATAGCAAAATAGGTTCATCATTTTTTGTAAAAATCAATAAATTAGACTATTGAAATTAAATTTAAAATAAATTTATTTTTATTAGACTTAAATTATTAATTCCTAATATTTATTTAAGTTAATATATATTTTAAATTTAATATAATCTAAATTATTTTATATTCAATAAATTTTAAATAATTACAATAGTAGTCTAAACATCATGAGAATATAGAGTTACTTTGTATTCTTTATTTTCAAATTTTAAAAATAAATAATTAGTTCCCTGATTTCACAAGAAATATTTAATCACAATCTGCTCTAACAACATGGTTAAGCATTAAATAAAAACAAAGATAGAGATCTAACCTAACATTCAAAGAACGTAAAAACTTATACGACCACAAAATAAACTCTCGATCGCCAAGCAAAATAACAAAATTTGCATCAACATAAGCTTATTATAACTATGTTATAACATGCATATACTAGTTAAATTAAATTTAAGATATAATACCTTAGTTGTCAATCCCAAATAGAGTAACAAGAAGTTGATGTGTACTAATGCTCTTCAATCAAAGTTCTTATTAAGCAAAGTCAATTCAAGAAATGAACAAAAAAAAATGAACTGACCATTTCACAAAACATACAATTGTTGATGGAAAAACTCTAGATCAAATCTTATTTCCCGTGTGATACCTGCTTGACGAAAGTCTTTCTTGGGCTTTGTTCTAATTTGAATGTTCGAATGTTGAAATGAGAATATTTTTTTTCCCAAATTTATTGTGATAGAGTTGCAAACTAGAATATTCGTTCTTCCAAGAAACTTTACAAGAAAACATATGAAAAAATTAACAATTAGAAAGAACTCAATTAATTAAGGGTAACAGAAGAATATAAAGAATTAACTTTCCTAATCTCAAAAATCAAATCCCATCTGTGCATGTTTAGTCTCCTTCCACAATCTAGATAGATCCAATTTTGTTTTTCTTATTGAAATGTGTGCATAGAAGTCTTACTTGTATCAAAAAAGTTGTATTCTTTTATATTACTTCAATTCTATACCTTCTTTTTCGATTTTTAACGATTATAATTAGTTTTTTCGAAAGTTAATTTGATCAATTTTCAAAAAAAAATAAGATTAATACTTATTTGATATTTTTTAAAAAAAAGTATTTTTATTTTTCAATTCTATATGAAAAGTACTATAAATATTTATTATTTGCATTTTAACATGATAAAAAAATATATCGTAAATTGTTAGTCCAAATTCTTATAATTTAATTTTAAAAAAAAAGAATAAATGACAATTGAAAGTAAATTGATAAATATTAGTTTATTATTATACTGAGTATAATTGTTGCATATTAATTTATCATTATACTAAATATAATTAATTTATATTAGTTGATCACCTTACTAAATCAATAAAACTTTAATAAATTTTTTACTAATCTTGCAATTAATTTGATTTTTGAAAGTATTTATGTTTATTTGTATAATTCACAATAAGTATTTTAAGGAGTGAACTTGAAAAATAATTTTCTTATTTATGTTTTGTAAGCACTATAAAAAATTTATAGAGATCAACTTATATGAGACGAAGAGAGTATTTCACATATACAATGCCTTATTATATATTATATCATATTATATACAATGTGGCCTAGGAATGCCACAGACCTAAGCCAAAATTCACACTTGGAGAACTTGGAATATAGCTCCTTATCTGTCAACATCCGAGGAACTATCCTTAGGTGACTAGAATGATCTTCTTCATTCCTTGAATAGATCAGTACATCATCAATGAAGACGATGACAAACAGATCTAAATAGGATTTAAGACTGTTCATAAGATCCATAAATGCTGCTGGTATATTCGTTAAACCAAAGGATATAACCAGAAGTTCATAATTCCCACCTTGTTCTAAAAGACGTCTTGGGAATATTATATTCCCTAACCTTCAACTAATGATAGTCAGATCTGAGGTCAATCTTGGAAAAGCACGAAGCACCCTGAATTTGGTCGAAGAGATCATCTATCCTTGGAAGAGGATATTTGTTTTTTATGGTCACCTTATTCAACAAACGATAATGTATACACATCCTAAGAGACCTATCCTTATTCCTACCAAATAAGATTGGAGCGCCCCATGGTGAGACACTTGGTCGGATGAAACCCTTATCTAACAGATGTTTCAATTGTGCCTTCAGCCTTTTTAACTCTGCTGGTGCCATTTTGTATAGTGGAATAGTCTTAAGACAATTATCTGGGATGATGTCTATGCCGAAGTCTATCTCTTTTTCAGGAGGGGCTTTGTGTAGGTCATTAGGAAAGGCTTCTGGAAACTCACTGACTATAGAAACTGACTGAAGGGAAGGTACCTCGACACTTGAGTCATTAACTCTTACTATGTGATATATACATCCCTTAGAGACTAACTTTCTCACCTTAAGTTATGAAATGAAACGACTCTTAGGAACTACTGAACTACTAGCTTACTCTATGACTGGTTCATTTGGAATTTAGAACTTGACAACTCGAGTTCTGCAAGCTATTGATGCATAAAAGTCATCGTACCAGACAATACCTATAATGACATCAAAATCTACCATGTCTAACTCTATTAAATCATCCATGATACTCTTTTGACTGAACGCAACAGGACAATCATGATAGACTCTTTTTGCTAGGATGGATTCACAATATGGTGTGGACACACTGAATTGTTCTCTAAGTTGTTCAGGAGAAACCTCAAAGTTCATAGCAACATACGGAGCTACAAAACATAAAATAGCTCCTGGGTCAAATAATACGGAAAAAGTAAAGTCAAAGACTCGAATCATATCAGTGACAACATTTGGAGAATTCTCTTGGTCATGGAGATTAGTAAGAGCATACAAGTGGTTTGTTCCTCCGCCTGTACCAGAAGTAGCTCCACTAGGTGCTCTGTTTGGTGAAGACAATGATGAAGACTGAGCTCTGTTGCCCCCACTACCACCACTCTGATTACTCTTGGGTCATTCTATCATGAAATGTCTGGTCTGTCCGCAGTTGAAACAACCCACGGAACCTTTGCGACAAATGCCGGAGTGATTCCTACCACACTTGGCACATGCAGCAGGCTTAGTACTTCCTGGCGCCACACTAACTTGAGACTAAGTCGGTCTAGCCTTGAAGTTCTGTGAGTTATGTCCACTATACCCACCTCTGTTTCTGGTTGTTGATGCACTAATAGGTGATGGTGAATGTCTCTTTGATTTCTGAAATTGTGGTTGACTTGAACCACCTTCTTGTTGATAAAAATCATTCCAGTCTTTGTCTTCTTTTTCCGGTACTCTTCTCTGTCCTGCACCTTCTTTTGTTCGACTTGTTGCACCTATACCATAAGTCTGGATATGTCCATGTCACCTATCAACAAGGTAGACCAACTTCGTTACTTGAATTACGACCCAACCCATCAACAAACAGACTCATTCTGCTCCGCATGTGATTTACCACCTCTGGAGCATATCGATACAATTAGGTGAACTTCAACCCGTATTCATGAACACTCATGTAGTCCTGTTTTAGAGTAAGGAACGCCCTCACGCTGGCTTCCTTCATTTCTTCTGGAAAGAACCTCCCTAAAAAGGCTTCTTCAAAGCAAATCCAACTTGGATGTGGTGCATCCTCAGCTCTACCATCCTTCCATTGGTCAAACCTGGTTCTAGACACACCCTTCAATTGATATGCAGCTAATTCAACCCTCTCCACATCGACCATATGCATTACCTCT